TGAATTCTCTCCACCGAACTCTCCTAACTGAAGTTTTTGTGGAAAATATATTATTATGTGGCAGGGCTTTTAATTAGTGACATATTAATCTACAAGCTAATGAACGTGCAAAGCATAGGGCCTTAGAAGAAGTATTTTGCTTGTAACTGGCTACGTGCCTGCACAGTCAGAACAGGATGTACTCAGGATGTGCCACATATGATCCTGGGCCTCGTAGTGAGAACAACAGGAAAAACCTGGGATGAAAGGCAGTTGATATCTTCCTAAGTGTTCCAAAAAAGGAACTGTATCTAACTGTGACTGACGCATGTTATGTTATCTGCTTACGCATGAAGAGGGTGAACCCTGACATATAAAACAATAGGTTGAAGTGCTTTTCTGTGAGATCAACACGGAAGGTGCCATTGTGTAAATCTCCTATACATGTATGCTAATAAATAATTGTTGGTTAACTGGACTTGCTCTGAGTATTGGTTGTTTGTTCTCAGCCCAACATCAAAGAATCCGGGACATTTTCTACTGCCATCTGTCACTTGATCACCAGCTTTCTGACAAACAGCAAGTGAAGATGGAGATGTGCCCTCTACACCTCCAAGAACCCAGCCATTAAACTCCTAATGACCCAACAATCACTGAACTTATCCAAGATGGTGATAAGTTAGATATCAGCAGGAGGTTGAGCAGACAACTGAGCCTAGCACAAAAGGTACTGGAGCCAGTGGCAACATGGGGATGCTAAAAGTATCACTGAATATCTGTACATATAGCCCTTTTCCACTAGCTCAGCATGGCTCGAGTAAGTTTTTAGTGTTCTCCATTAGGTGGTAGTACCTGGTACCAGGTAGGGCAGGACAATATGGCCAAAAATATTTATCACGATATATATTTGAAAATTTGCGATAACGATATAACTGATGTGAGACAAAATGTCAACACAAAGTTTTTTTATTTGGAGCACATTTCTACAAGAAAGACAAGTTACCATATTTTTGGGCCATAAGGTGCACCGG